GTTGAATTCAGTTGATAGGCTTTTACCTAAATCTAATGTGATTTCCTTTAACATCTGTAGTATACAAGCAGCAGACTCAAAAATTCACCATCATTTCCAGCAATCTTGCAAGCAAATAAAGCATTTTATTTAAAGGTGCTCTATTTGAACTTGGATATGGTGACAAATCTGTTCATCATTAGCCAACAGGTATTTTTTTATGGAAGTTTCAATTCCCTTCCCTGTACTCTAAAATACTTCAGGAAGTTTACTACACAGCCCAGTCACAACCAATACTTGTTCCTAACTCAGTGAAATGTCAAAATCTTTTTTTTCATTCACTTGTTGTTCATGTAGCACTTTGAAATACGTATCAGTTTGATATAGTGGTTAGGAATATGGGCTCTGGAGCAAGACTGCCTAGGTTCAAATCCTGTGTGACTTTGAATGAGTCCTTTTAACTTCTCTGGGTCTCAGTTTACTCATTTATAAAAAAGATACACTAATAATACCTCACAGACTCACAGTAGAGTTTAAATGATTTTGTATGCATGTGTGTGTATTTTACAAGTGCCATGTAAGTATTAGTTATTATCACATGTAGAATGTTTGCTTTTACTACCAGGACGAGGTCCCCTGAGGAGCTTGAAGATATTTGCTTCCAAAGACAATGGGAAGGATCCTTTTATTAAAAGTAAAGGTACATGCTCTTAGTCAACAGTAATAGTTATGTTTAAAGCTATGAAGGAGCTGTAAATGATGGTTCACATCCTGCTTTCTTCCACTTCAAATAATGAGGAAATTTGGAGCTATTAATAGTAAAAAAAGTGGAGACCTCAAAGATTTTTAATCTTCTTTCTATACTTTAACTACTATTTGGAAAAGCAACCAATTAACAGGTTACTAACTAATTTATGGATTTAGGGACAGTGGAAACACTGGCACTCGGAACACTTCCAACTGTTTTCAATGATTGGTATTGATCAAAATACACTAGTTATGTAAACTATGATACTTTGATATCAAGTTTTCCAAATCCCTAGAGGCTGAGTCTTGCAAAAAATGAATTCATAGAACAATTTTCTATTCCATTTCCATTCTCTGCCTACCCCTCTTTGATACAACATTGATACTTGAAATTATTCTCACCTAGTGATCGCAAGTTCATAGTACATTTAGCAGAAATAATGAAGTCTTAACAAAAGAGGCAAAATTCTAGAATTTCACGAAAATGAGAACATTCAAAAATATTTTATCACTTAAAATTCCCATGAATGATTTCCTAAGTCATTTATAGTTTCACTTCGGTTGATATGGTATTTTAATTATGTTCCCATACTTCATTTACTAGAGAAAGATAAAAATAATTTGGGTACTTCACACACTAAATAAATTCAAGTTAATGTAGCTGAAATGTTTTAAATTAAAAGGAACAAATGCTGACATTAGAGATAGTTAATGTGTGCCTAAGTGTCAGAACCATTCAATTTACGTATAAGGTTTTTCAGGAGAAATAAGGTTTGAATCACAACACCATTATGCTGTTTGCATTGGAAAAGCATATTCGCAATGACGTCCTATGATACTCAAGCTATTAGACTGGTCATGCTCCTTGACCATGCATGCACCCTTCCTTACCTTCAATGAACACCTCAGCAGATGTTGTGTCTGAGCCGCTGGGGTTCGTAGCCAGACAGGTATAGCGACCGGTGTCGTCCTCAAAGGCCTCTGCTATGATCAGTGTATGGAGGTCTCCACCCTCACAGTGGATTTGAACATCAGGAGTGTTGTGCAGCTCCTTCCCCTCACAGAACCATCTGCAGGCCACATGGAGGTCAAAGGACAGGAGAGAAAGAAAGAAAATGATGATGTTTAAAACAGTGAAGCACAAGTGAAAGGGTGGATGCTATGCAATGAGATGTTTGTTTGATTAGAAAAAAAAAAGATCTGTGTCAATGTTACTGATGGAAACTCTACATTTTAGACAGTGAAATTAATAATAGACAATCCCCATGGGTTTCCTTCATAAAGTATTCTGTACATTTTATCAGCCTTGAAATAAGAGACATTGTCAAACCTGAAAAGACAACTTCAGTTACAAAATAAAAGGAACAGAAATTCAAAGTGTCTTGTAAAATGTGTTATAATAAATGCCTCCTACATTTATTACCATTTTATCTATTATTCTTATCTAAAGAAAAACACAAAAGTAATATAAACATTATGCTCAAAATATCTAAAATATTAAGGGAAACTTATCATTGTGTTAAAAAATCATGGCAGCAATATTTTGGTTGACCCTAAGACTTCTGGTCAGCTGAGCAGTAACAGATTTAATGTCTTCCAGGTTTGTGATATTTACAAAACTTTCCAGCAGACCTCCTTGGCCTCCAAGATGCAGAGAGACGTAGCAGTCATGCTGTAAGTCATTCTCGCCGGTCAGCACTTTTCCTTTCCCATACAACCAGGACCTTGGCGGGGGGAGACTGCAGCCTGCCAGACTGTTTAAACAAGGGTTCTCTCTCACACTTTCCTCTATTCCCCCAGCACCTCAAACTCTCAACAGCAGTGGGTTGCCTGTACATTTCACAGGACACCCCCCCAAAAGCTGTCCTAAAAAAAACCCCCAAATGTGATTTATTTTTAAAGAAATATGTAGAAATGTGCCATAACTAAAAGGACTGAGGTCTCTGACTATATTGTCCATTTAACTCTTAATTAGCACTTAGGGATTTTCTCTGAGTCTAATCTATAAATATCTTTGGATTTGGCATCCTTTTGTGAAAATATGACACTGACAACTGACAATGTTTTCATAATATGGGTATTTGTCTATACTTAATTTGAAAATAAATTTAATGAAGCAAATGAGTTTGATAATACTCAGTATTAACACCAGGTACCACATTAAAAATTAAATATGGGATACTCACAAAAGAACAGATATGACTTTGGGAATTAAAGAACATAAAATAACCAAGCATCTGAGCATTCTATGAAATGCAACCCATATTATGTTGAGGAGGGCAATATTTCTTGATTCCAGGGCACTTTGTGGCTTTCTTTGTTGTCATAAAGTCTTGGAGAACTTTCCAGCCTAGGGCCATCTTTCAGTCCCTTTATTCTGTTCTCTTTCCAAAGCCATACTCTAGATCCTTATCCATGAGCACTGACTGTGGCTTTGGTGTTTTAATTGATCTCTTCATCTCCAGTAAACTGCAAATTCTCCCTATATTCTGTCATCAGATTAATGTTCTTGAAACTCTTCCCTACATACATCATTCCCTAAACTTCAGATCTGTTGTGAAGGTCTTTCATAGAACTTGGCCCTGACTTTATCTTCTACCATTTTCTTATACTAATCCTCTGTTTCTTTCAAGTATTTGTATGAATTTATTTTTCCCTCCATAGCCTTCAAGTATTACTTGCCTACTTTTCTTTGCCTGCACTATCTTCTCCTTGGGATTCTCTCCTTACCCTCTTCATCAATCCTGTCTAGGAACCACTCTTCCTTAAGGTCAAGCTAAAAAAATACTTCTTCAACAGACTAAATTCAACTGAATACACACTTGCTAAGCCTCTTCTATGTGAAGGCATTGCATTACATACAGCAGATGATAGAAAGAATAATGCCTGGTAAACTCAAACTGGTTGAGAAATTTGTCTGTCTGTACTGTCAATTAGAGTGCTTTTACCTTCCATAAAAAAGATACGTATCAACCATTAGAGAGAAAATGCAGCATGAAAAAATACAAGGAGGTTTAGGATAGAGAAAGATTAATTTCTTCTGGTTAGATGTCCTTCACAAGGAAATCTCTGCCAACTCTCTAAGTAAGTACAGTATCTTGTCCTCTAACTCAGCAAACGTACAGCCTGTAAGCCCAGTGCCTGTTTTTATATGGCCATGAGTAAAGAATGGTTTTTATACTCTTAAATACTTGGAAAAAAATCAAAAGAAGAATAATATTTTGTGACATAAAAAATTATATAAAGTTCCAATTTCAGAGTTCATAAATAAAGTTTTTTTGGAACACAACCATGATCATTTGTTCCCATATTGTCTATGGCTGCTTTTGCATTACAAAGACAGAGCTGAGTAGGAGTTGCAACATCCTGTATGCCCTCAATGCCCCAAATATTTACTATCTGGACCTTTATAGAAAAAGCTTGCCAACTCCTGCTTTTTACTCCTCAAAGTGTGACCCTTGGATCAGCAGCATTGGCATCATCCAGAAGCTTGTTAAGAAATGCAGTATCTTGACTCTCACCCCAGATCTACTGAATCAGTTCATGTGATTCACATGCACATGAAGTTTAAGTGCTGGTCTAATACATTCTGGATGCACTAACCTGACTCTCAGAGTCCTGGCTCTCCATCTAGGTTATTCACTTCTTCAATATAGCAATCATATTTTATGTATTTTGTATCCTGGATCTCTTGCACATGAGAACAGGCAAAATGTGCTCTTTTTGTTTCTTTTTTTCTTTCTCCCATCTCTGTGCTCAAATATTTTTAACATCACTCACTTGACAGTTGATCATTTATCACTTTGTGATCTCTTCTCTATTGTTTCCTTATACCATTATTCAATGGCTAATGTGTTTATGCCTTATTTCCCCACCTATAAAATCAACTAATTCTTGATTACAGAAAAGCATTAAAGATTTTTTATTGATCTATAGTGTATTGCATATAGTTGGTGCTTTAAAAATACTTACTACCTGCCACACATTACTTTAGAATATGCTTCCCATGAAAAAACAAATAGTGAAGGGATCTGTGGCCTGATACATTTGGAAAATGCTACATATTATATCTCACTTCTTGATATTTGCAACTCATATTTCCTTATTAAAGGGCCTGAGAAATCCTGCAGAAAAGAAATGTGTTTAATAAGATTGTCTAATCCAGCTTGTACTAAACTTATTTGATCATGAAATTCTTTCTCGCTCAGCACCTCCTAACATCTCATGTGCATTTTACGGAATGCTTTTCTAGAATATTTATTCCACAGAACTTGCACTTTTAACAAAATGAATGAAGAGCAATTATAAACTGAGCAATAACAATAAGTGTAAGGCTGAAGAAAACACAATAAAAACTTGACATATACCTTAATACTGGCAGAGAAATTAAGGCAACAAATGCATTTTCTGCAACAGTTTAACATGTCTATCTAGTCATCTGAAATGCTTCATCACATAATAAAACTCTTCAGCAGTTTCATATGGTAGTGATTGGTGCTTACAAACCACTAGACTGACTTGTTTTTTGCTTTCTAAACGCTCATGCTTTTTGTTCTCCAGCTCAGTGAATAAAATTTAAAAAGCATCTCAGAATATAAAACACGGTAGAAATAATGCAGAGAAAAGATTAAATTTGTCCAAATCTGGCAGAAAGTAGAATAATTAACATGAGCCATTTAAATTGCTTTCACACGGAGAGTCAGATTGTTACTGATGTAAATGCTGTCAAGTGACCAGTTCTATCTTGTTAAAATGTGGTAAGACAGGGTGGGACCCAAGAAGAGGGAGAAAAAACTGCAAATATTTGGATGGCAGACTTTCTATAGAAACAAAGAGGGCAGCATGGTTCCTGGCCAATATTTATATAAATGTGTGTTTAATTTACGATTGGAACCATTTGCAGATTGGAGCTAGCACTGGCGAGCAAAGAGTCTCAACTGCAACTTTGGGAAAGTCATTTAGCCTTCCTGGTTCAGGTTCCTCATCTGTATGAAGAGGTGAAACTTTCTCACCATAAAGTTTGATGATTCTAATGTTTTTGGCTAAATGTAAGGGTGTTTATTTAGTGATTATGATAAAAAAAATTTCCGGGAAATGATGTAGAAAATTATCTGATGAAAGATGCAAGTAATTAACAACTTAGCTTCTTTGAAATACACTAGGGCATAATTGTGTTTCTAAGAAGAGTATGCACCCACACTTGGTCCTTAAATGTATCAATGGGTTTAGCTCCTTGTCTTTATCTCAACCATGGCACTTAACTTTCCACTTTATATTGAAATGAACGCCTTGTGTGCCTAGAAAGTTTCATTCTACTGGAATGTAAGTTTTTCCAGAGTAGAGGCCTGGTCTTATTAACTTATTCACTAGGTTCCAGCACAATGTATGGAATGTATTAATCATGCCTTTTTATTTTCTGTATTTCTGTTGCTTTGACATCTGGGGCCTTGCTGACCCTGAAGAGACTGCTCCTCCCAGGGCTAGCCAATTCCTAGAGATAGTAAATGACTATCCTGGGAGCATGCTTCTCATATGCAATCCAGAGCCCATGTCCCCACCACCTCCTCTACTGGGCTATTATACTAAGGGTCACTGTGTCCCTCCTTTTATCATCCCAGGGCCAGATACCAGACAACCTGGGATAATGACTCTGCTTGAAAGCCTGCTGGAATTGTTCAAACTAACTAATCCTAAATCTATTGACCTTGCCTCACCTGTCCCTTCCTGTGAAACCACAATAACGGCTCTTGCCCATGTTTTCCCCTCCCTCCTTCTGCCTCCTGACCAACCCTGGTGCTTCCCTCTGTGGCTTCTTGTGGTGTGGCATGCCCCCTCCTCCTGGAAACTGTGAGTAACAAACTATCTTTTCAGCGATAATCATCTCCTGATCTGTTGGCCTCAGCATACCTGAATAATAGTAAGACCTTCATTTTAAAACATGGAACATTGCCATTGAGCTAATCAAAGAAGAATAAGCTTACAAATGAAGAAAGGACTGAGCAGATAAATAATTTAAATAACACCCATCACAGTGCCTGCTTTAAGATGTATATGGAGAGAGGTTTATTGC